CTTGACCGCGATTGCGGTGGTAGTCTTCCACCGGGAGCAGGAGGATAGCCACGGCGGTCATCGTATCCAGGGCCTGGAGGTCGCCCATTTCCCGGGCCTGGTGGACCGGGTGGGCGCATCGAGCGTGGCTGAGATTGCGTAGCAGCATATGGTTGAGAACCGGAGGAGCTAGACTGGTAACTATATGCCGCATCGTCGTAGCCAGGGTCAGCCTGCTGGTAGCTACGGCTACTCATGCCACCGTCGCTGTATCCTCCTTGGGATCCATCTTGCGAATACCCTCCTGGCGATGTCACAGAACGCGGAGGGGGGTTATTGTATTGTCGCAAAGGCGGCGGCCTCTGCGCTTGATGTTGCTGGGGGTATGACATGGCGCAAGCCGATAAGCGTACTATACAGCGGTGATTCGAGTAGGTTTCGGGGGTGGTTCACGGTGCAAATCTTGTGGGTAGTCGCATGCAAGGAGGGGACAATTCGGTAAACCCCAAGGCTCCAGGGCTGCAATTCAGAATTAGCTCATTCATTTCACGGTCCATGGATATCCTGAGAAGGCAACCGGCCGGACTCCACACCGATCCTTACCTCGCGCAATGCCAAATCGCAGTGAGCAACGAGCCTGTCGCAAGCTGATCAAGCACCTGAGGGGGTCAGGAGCCACACCGGCCTATAGTAAATACAAGAAGTTCAAAGTAAATCAAGCGGGGGGCAGAATGATTTAGGGGCGGTCGGAGCAGGTGACCTTTAAATTAAACAGTTGACCCACACCGAGAGGCACTTTTCATAATTTTTTCTATTCTTTTCATGCTTTTCATGCATTTTATTCCCTTTTTTAAAAATATGGGTATCCAATCTCCTTTTGTGCCTTTTAGACTAACTACATTTGGTTTATTTTCTGAGTGGACTTGAATGGAAATCCAGTGCCGTCGATAGATTCTCTTATTATATTTCCATTCAAGACATACTTTGTTTATCGGCAACATACTCTTTCTTGAATACTTTGATACAATTTATAGTTCAATGTTATTATGCAGGTGTGTCATTGTATATGAAGGTACAGCCCCGTGGAAATTAATCCCACCCGGTGCCTGACGATCAGGGGGGGTTCGAAGCTGGGGCCCGGGTCCTGCAGACTTTCTCATCCCAAAATTTCAACGTCGACGGGACTTTGTTGGCATCCACTTGTGCTTCCCTAGTGATTATAGTCCGTAATACCGGCCATTCTGCCATTCTGCCATCCAACCCCATGAAGCTAGAAGGTCAAACAATGATGACTAAAGCAGACCCTGTGCCCACCCGTGGACCCGTGGAATGCAATCGGGCACCCCTGGAGGGCTGCCCAAAGTTGTAAAAGTAGTTCGGAGGTATGGACTTTGTAAGTAGGTGGGTAGTATAGGAGAACATGACAGACTCCACCTCTGTCTCGGAACACTTCCATAAGGACGTCACGTCACGTTCAATAAAAAAGTGACAAAGGTGAAAGTGTGGGGGAGAAACCTTGGAACACGAAAACGTGAGACATGCTCGATCGGGCAAAGCGTGCTGCGCCACATAGGCTGCGCCACGCCGCCTCCAACAGCAAATGAGAGCCGCGATGATGTTGATGATCTTCATCGGTCTCAGCATCTCTAGTTATATCTTCCCGAGTCATCCGAGAAAACACATCGTCATACCGAAAGCCTTAAATCGGTAATCAACATCCGACCTTCGGATTCACCATGTCTCGCGCCGGGTTATGGGCGAAGACCATAGCCGGGTAAGTGATACACGCCTCTGCACCGTGCCAAAGACTCGCGCTCACATTCGGTTCTCACCATAGTGGTCTCCTCATGGTCGTCGGTGGCCCCGCTTTTGTCGAATACCTCCGACCCTCCGACGAAGAGCTTAGGAAGCGATACAACCCGGATCTGCAGAAGCGCAGCGCCGAACAGGGGAACCGCAAGGCGCAGGAATTCGACGACTACGTCAGTAAGCTGAAGGAGTGGTCCAAGTCCGATAAGTCCAGTATGTCATGCACTTGCAATTTACCATGGAAATGATTATCTCCCGCGAAATCGGGTTCGCTCAGGCCTGAAAATGCATCAGTGGCTAATGGTCGTGACTCGAATTTTTCTAGTCTGGTACGCCGCTCAAGAAGAATTGGACCAGAAGCGAGCAGTGTTGGAGGCACAACGCGCACAGCAGAAGGAACAAACACGGACACAACAGGAGGAGATGCGCAAGGAGATGCTGGGTGAAAAATGATCTCCCGAGTAAAACCATCCCCCCTCGACCATTTATATGTGATCATGCTGTGCCCGCACACAGAATTTGATCTATCTACATCTCCAGCCCTCCGCCTCTCCTGCTACTGACTCAATCGCCCCTCCCACAATTGTTCTTTCTCATCCCGGGGCTTCGAGAGCCCGAAGTTTCTGCACTATCTGCAATCTTGGATATCCCTGGGTATATGTCATGATTTTTATTGGCTGTACGATACGTTTGCGACTCTTCCCTCATCTTTGCATCTACTGCCTCAATATTGGAGGCTTATATCAATGTACAACTACCGACATCCCCAAGTGTGCTTCTTCAATACCATACCATGTTCTAAAAGCAAATCTCGTTCCGCCTACTGCAATTGCACGCGTATATCTACACATTAGCATTTCAGGGTTTTCTCTATATCTACGCTAGATTGGCTAGGTGCTAGAATAAATGGGCGCATCTGCAGCGGGTGGACCACACCGCCTGCTTGGCTACCTCGTCGGGTGCAGAGGATGGCGAATCCTCTTGGAGGTTATCAACATAGCTCCATTAGCTAGTGAGTTTGTCATTATCAGCTGCACAGGTCGTGTTTTACATCTAAGAGTTGACAGAACTATATACATTTATGTCGGTATTGAAACCTCTCCACAATTTATGTAGAATGCCACTCACCCATGAACCCACCACCTAGAACACAGGCTTGCTAGTCGGTCAATAAGCTAGGACATTAAATAGAATTTATCAGGGCTCCGGGATCATCTTTGGTGTTTGGGGGAAATATCCCCTAGCCCTAGGGGCCAAAATCGCTGCCTAATACATGTGAATAAATTGGTTTGATAGTCTTCTTCCTCCCTGTCGCGGGGGTTACGGGGTTGTTGGCCACCTTGGTAGAATATGTGCACAGATATATATTCTACAACGAAAACATGCTGCTCAATGTCGCGAGAAATGTGTAGATCTCATGGAGCATAAAATGCTTCTTTGTTCTGTTTTTCCCTCGAAGTACAAGATTGCCACGAAATATTTGTAGAAAATCTTTCGCGCATGAACGCAATGGCACCAACACATATGTAGGTATCAAAACCGCAGCCATCTGCTCGCCGATCCCAGTAGTGCTCTTGTAGTTTGTATTATCGGTCTAGATCAACCTTAAATTCGTCTATAGGACTAATCCTATCCCATCCAGAATGATTATTAGCTATGCAATTGAGCGATGGAAGAGGAACCCATCCAGCCAAACTACGCAGTATTGTTGGCTTTTAGGGCATGCCAGACTGGGATCTTTGAATTGCATTGTTATGTACCCCAAAAGTGGATTCGGGTTGGAATTGTTAATGCTGCTTTTGCGTGGATTGTTTCTGTTTTGACAACTGATATCTAGACCAGATAATAGCAGCAAGTAGTATTATGAAACCCATGATCAAGGTATACCCCCAAAGGCTATTTTCAATGTTCTCACTCTGATCATGACCAAGTCATAGACCAGCAGAAGCATTGCCCTCTCCTCCAGCGGCGAGGGACTTCTCAATGAAGTTCTCTAGGGCATCAATTTCCTCGGGGGTCGCGGAGTGACCAAGATTTCTGTATGGGAATATCAAGTTAGTGAACCACCACAAACCGGAACAACAGCGGGCCAAAAAACATACTCGTATTGGTTGAAGGAAACATTCTCTAGGCCAAGCTCCTTAAGTTTAGCCACTGAGCCCTTCCCAAAGGCGAATGGAACAACGTTATCCTCGAGACCGTGGGCAAGGAAGAACGGCGTCTTCTTGTTGACCCACTCTTCGGGCATGTAGTTCTTAATCCGGTCGCTCAATAGCAGGTAGGACGACATCCCAAAGACACCGCCGAGCTTTTCCTTGTTAGTCACACCGGTGAACAGGGAAATCGCACCGCCCTGGGAGAACCCGCCCAGGATGATACGTGAGGCCTTGATGTTCTTTTGCATCTCTTGCTCGATGAGGGTATTGAAGTAGTCGCGGGAGCGGACAATTCCTCGTTCATCCTGGGTGCGGAGGGCTTCTTCGAAGTCCAACTAGATAGAGGGAGACGAAGGTTAGCGCTGTGAGTTTATTCGGGGTTTTTGGGAATGAACTCACGTCACCGCCAAGCTTGGTGATGTCGTACCATCCGGGCATGCTCATACCGTAGTTCTAATCGAGAGTTCGTCAATCAATTTTAAACTGAGGATAGGTATGAGTCTCACATACAACTGTGATCGGGATGTCGGGCGCATTGGGAAAGATGAAGGCCACCTCGTCGAACTTGCCGCGGCGGCGCCATGTCTGGGCAAGGGACACCCTGTTGGATTTTGATGGTCAGAAGCGAGGCTCACGAGTTTAAACCGGGTAATTGATGGAAATTTCCATACCATCCGGCGCCACTGTATTCAAATACTGTCAGACTCGATACTATCGTCTTATCTTCTGGCGATACACTTACCTGTCTCCCAACCCGTGGGCCATGATAACAGTAGCGGTGTGCTTCGTGAGCGCCGGAACAATGTACGGACCACGCGTCATCTTGAAAGTCGATATATGGTATGAGATGTACAAAGAAGTTTGGGTTAAAGGGAACTGGAGAGATTTCTCGAACTGTTGTTTCCCCACGTTTCTGCCGCCGACGTTATCGCCCTCTTACCGCCCATTTGATAACAGCATCCAAGATGACCTCGGGAATCCCAGCCTTGGAGGGCTCATCCATTGCATTATTAAACATTATAAAAGCTTGACTTAAGTGCTAATGAGCCCCAGTGATTACACCACTTCGATAGAGTATAACTCTTGCTTAGTCGACTCAACGACCTCATTCAAGAGATCAGCCTCCACAACCCCCTGTTGCCAAGAGACAGCTAGCACCAAACACCCATCTCCCCCAGTGACAGCTGACACCTCAATGGCATTACCCATCACACTAGCACACTGCGAAAAGACCATCCCTTTGATGGATGGCAGGTCGGAATTGGTTTGCGGGTCCAAAACACCGATATTTGACACCTCAAAGCTCTTATCGCGGTCTTTGCCAACTTTAGACAAACACAGTTCCTCCTGAAAATTATCGACAAATTGTAGTAGGCTCGTGCTAGCATTCTTCCCTTCCATTTCCAAGACAGACTGAATCGTCTTACGGGATCGTCTAGCCTCTGCCCACGGGAAGGAACCGTCGGACGGAGCGACTGTATCCCGGGAATATGTCTCTTCGTAGTCCTGGACCCAGACGCCGATTGACTCATCAGTGATAATATCTGGCAGCCAGCGCCGGCTTGACAGTGCACCGGTGCAGGCGAGTCGCGTGAACTCAGGCGGGATATGTGCGAAGATGGAGCGAGCAACGATTGTCTGCAGAAGTGCAGTGATCGTCGTACCCTCTTGTCGACATCTGTCTCTTATTGCACCGACGACTAGTTTGGAGAATGGCACGAGCCGTAGGCGGGTTTGAGAGGGGACTATGACCTTGGAGCCGGTCCATAGACCCGTGGGTCGTTGGGAGTAGATTTTAGCTTGGAATATTTTCTTGGCAAGATAGAATAAGGAAAGAGACATTGGATGCACAAGCTCGATGTTTGGCAAGAGAGGGAGCTGCGGTGACTTGATAATGGATTTAGTCTGATCAGAGGAGTCCATTGCCCCCAGGGCTCGTAGGAAGGTCTGGTGAAAGGCTTTTCCGGAGGTTCCATCGCCAATGGCGTGATGATATACAAACGCCGCAGTAAATTGCCGCTCATCCTCCACATCTAAAAGGACACAGACTCTCCAGAAGGGGTTTGGAGCCCTGAAAGGAGTGTTGTGTTGGGTTGCAAGCAAGGTTTGCAAGTCAAGATCTGGAGTAGGCTCGCCATCGGCTTCGGTAGCTAACAAGCCTGGTTTCCTGTCCTGGAAAGATACAACTTGGTCAAGATCAATTTCTGGCAGCCGCACGAAATAGGGGTCTTGTGTGTGGTCGTCTGCCACGATGGCGGATAGCGACGGATGTTGAGCTATTGCAGCCTCGCATGCCTGATAGACATAGTCTTTGACAGGAAGCACAAATGAATCTGGTAGGAAATAAGTTGCTGATACAGCAACATTTAAATAAAACCCGACCTGGTGGCGCGACGTTGAATATTGTTCCAATCGACCTGACTGGGGTCAGGCATTGTTGACTTTCGGAAAAGGTTCCCGACTGTTTTTGACAAGGATCTACTTACCAACAGGACGTAGTGTCTCGAGGTTCTCCATGATAGGATATAGCCTGCGCCCTGAAGAAAGAAGAAGAAGAAAAAAAAAATCTCTCTTGCTTGTTGGATGCCTAGAATGCTCGGAGACTAGCCCCTGATCTTTTTCCTAATTGCTTGTCAATCTACCCGCACACGTGACACTCTACTATGTATCAAGAAGGCATTTCTCTGCTGCTGTAAATGGCCACAATGGAATAGCGGAGTATATAGATACTTTTCAGTTTGCCAAAGTACCAGCTTCGCGAATGGCCACCTTATTCGACCTGCAAGATCGTTGAAGAATCAGCAAAGCATTGTTCGTTCCTATATAAAAGTGAAGAGATATGGATAAAAAAAGCAACTGCGATAGCAATTACCCTATAATGCCAGTCAAATTATTAACTGGGTTTCTGGTTAGGCAAAAGGATATTGCGTTGGAGTCAGTTTTATCGGAGAAAATTCAGTTTCTTCAAATGAGTGCAGTCTGAGGGTTGACCTGGTATGGAGTTGCTTCGCAAAATGTCTCACGGGTACCTACGAGACTAGCTAGGTAGGGTGGTAGCTGGAATACTGATTTGGTGGCTAGGGCGGTTATAACATAGCAAGAAACACACTGTTGATTGTTCTGTTATGAGCGAAGATATCATTGTTCATTATGCATCGCCAAACCCCGAGACCAAAGACAAATAGAGCAAGAAATCGAATAATCTGATTTTACAGCACAGTGATGCCACCGACGAGAGCAGCGCCAAGAACTCCCCAAGCGGCGGTTTGCATCGGCACAGCAACACCCTTGGAGGTGGAGGTGGAAGTGGAAGTAGAAGTGGAAGTGGACGAAGAGGATCCGCTCTGCGCTTGACCCCCAGAAGTAGACTCGTTGGCATTGCGTGAAGCAGAAGCACCGGTGAAAGTGGTGGCAGCGAGGTTGGTGTTATTGGTACAGGCAGATGGTGTCTGGTATGTGACGTCGGAAGAGAATTGGATATCGGCGCACTGTATTGCATTAGTATAGCACCATTAAGAGCCAAAATGGACGAAAGAGAAGTGAACATACAGCGTAGAGACCACCGCTCGGGTCACCGTTGGTCTGTACCTGAAGGGTAGCATTCATTCCATCGGTGAAATTACGCCCGATCAACTTCTGGTTGATCTCGACGTGAGGAAGGCAGAATTCGCCAAGGCCTTTGACCTGGAAAGTGGGCGAGAGGACGATGTTGAAGTTGTCTCCCGGATCGCTACCCAGAGAAAGAAGGACCTCGACGGCAGTCTGCGAATGGTGCATCTCAAGAGCGACGGGAAATGAGCCACCGGACAGAGGTAACTTGGTACGATTAGAGGACTGGCTCATTCCACCGCAGGGGAAATTGGGCATGGTATCCTCGTCGAAGCCACGAGAGGTGGGATACATCAGCTTGAAGTGTGCGGAAGCCAATGGCACGATGGCCGTGAAGGCGAGAAGAGAGAACTTCATTGTGAGTATGTTGTTGGAGGGTTGAAAAATGAAGAGAGGGATAAAGTGTAGGAATTTAGTTGGATAGGAACTAGTGTACTATAGAAAAAGTGGGAGAACCCAGCTCTTTGAAGTCTTCTATACGAGCTCTGCATATACAAGGTGAGGGAGTTAGCGGGGCCTGAAAAGGAAACAGGGTCCGCCCGTGAAGCCCCGTGGGATCCGAAATGTCGGCAATCATGACCTTTTCCCCTTTGAGATTGTGCATACTTTGGAATCTTCCGACAGCGTTATCCTGTTCCATGAAGTGATCATTGGAATCTACATTTCTCTTCCCGATGCTTCTTTGCCACGCTATACCTGGGAATTACACGTTCGGATCTAAAGATACTGTAACACACATTCCTCTTTCTCGACAATAAGTTATATCTCAGACCATACTCCAATAATAGCATGGACCTGCTGTTTTGGTAGCTCAGACCATACTTGCTCAGAAGTAAATTAAGCCTTACACTAGCGCTAGGAGTGGATATTACCCGATGGTCTAGTCCAAATATGGTTAGTAAATTAGCTCAATTGCGCGCGCAAGGCTTAGTCATAGGGTTGCATGCAGCTGTGGGCCGCTGAGAGCCGGAGATAGCGATGAAGAATTCAGTGGAATGAGATTTATGACAAGAACGATTCAAACTCAGGTCAATTTGCATCATTTTACCCCCAATTCATTATTCCCTAACGCCAGGCAGATGCTCAAGGTCATGAAAAACATCAACATGCACAACATGTGTCAAGAGAAAAGTCAAAGCTAAAATGCTCAATGTCCGTGCTCATTAGTTTGAATAAAACGGCCGACCGCCAATTCCCCGAGGAAAGCGCCCCCAAGCACCGAGCAGAAATAGCCGATGTTCATAGTCATGACAGCTAGCATGCTATATATGATATTAGCATTCATCCAATCTATGCTAGTAGATATTAGAACATACAGTAGGTATGATATGCCCACAATACATAGAAACAGTAGTGCTCGTGGTAGATCAACGCTAAATCGCCAGGGAATTGGCCCACGATTGATGTTGTGCACAACTTTGACTGACTCCTCAACGCCTTGCGCGGTGATGAGTGATGCGAGTTTTGCATCCGGGTCGGAGTCGATGTTGCCAGCTTCGCTGCTTTTGCCAGCCACAGTGACATATCGTCGGTTGAGATGTGTGGCGAGCCAGTGGCGCTCCATGGTTGCTTTGAAAGCGATGAGGCACCGGTCGATGATGGCGAGAATAATTAAAAAAATACATGTGCCTGCAAAGCTACCCGAGGATGAAGGAGTCCAAGCATTGGAGAAAAGTGGCGTATCGTGAGTATTTTTGAATACCATATCCATGCTCATAGAGCTTGAAGAGCTCATACTGTGCGAGCTAGAGCTGGTGCTGCTCATATCCATGCCTTCCATGATTGAGGGAGAGAGAATTTGAGAATGAACGGAATATAAGAGGAAGATAAGAAAAGTAAATAACCTTTGATGAAGTTTACACGACGTAACGACGCATCGACGCATTGACGCATTGGACCAAAACGGTGCGCACATGGTGGACCCACCTTTATCCAGTGGGGGTGAGCATGGTTGAGCATAATATTGGTAATCTGCCCTGTCATTGGTGATTTTGTATGACTTCGTACACCTGGAGTGGTTTGTAGGCTTCATATCTCATTCTTCTACAACCCCAAGATGTCCATGTCAATGGGTGACATGCCTGCGGGCTCAATGTCCATGGGCGATGGCGTTCCAAGTCTGTTCACCTTACAGAAGATGTACTGGGCTGTTGTGGGAAGTGTAATCGGGGCAGCAACTCTTGTTAACGTGCTGGATCGCGTTATTGCTAGCCATCGGTATGGTTAATCTTCAGGGACATCCACTGATCTTAACTAACAAGAATCAGCTTGCGAGATTCTTCACTCACCCCCGCCAAACCAAAATCACTCTTCTTCAATCTCTACGCCACCATCACAGCAACAGCCCGCGAAGTCAGTTATGCAACTCCACAACCGCTTCAACTCAGAGGATTGACCATCCATTTCCCGCCACTTGGCCCCGTCCTCATCATGCTAGCCAACCTAATAGTAGTCATGGTCCTTTGTTTCTACAAGCTAAACACATTGGATCCATGGGCATGGGAGAACATTGGCTACCGGACTGGTTTCATCGCGATTTGCCAGCTGCCACTGATCTTCTTGCTGGCAGGCAGACAGAACATTATTGGGTTCTTGGCAGGAATGAGCTACGTCAGTCTGAACTGGTACCATCGCTGGGTCGCGCGAACACTGTGGTTGACTACCACCATCCATATGGGATTCTGGTTCCGCGATTGGGGTCGTTGGAATTATATCACCTACCAGCTTTATAATGATCCATTGACGAAGCGTGGATTTGCCGCTTGGGTTATCCTGACCTTTATTGTGATCACTTCCTTCGCTCCAATTCGTCGGCTCAGTTATGAGTTCTTTGTTATCCAGCATCTAGTCACCTTTCTTGGCTTTATTGTTGCTGTGTGGATGCATGCGCCTGATGAAGTCAAGACATGGGTATGGATCCCGATTGGGTTGGTGGTCTTCGATAGGGTTGCGCGCTACACCTGGGGTGCATATGCAAACTTGGCCATTTTCCACCGAAAGAATACATCCAATGCTCTCTGGGCACACTCAGCTACGTTTACTCCGCTACCTGGAAATGTCACTTGCGTCACTATCGAAAACCCCGGTATCAGGTGGGAACCCGGTCAGCATGTCTTCCTCACTTGTCACTCTGTCGTCCCATTACAATGTCACCCATTCACTATCGCATCGATCCCGGAAGATAATAAGATGAAATTCTTTATCCGAGCTGAGAATGGCGGAACAAGACGTTTCTTTCGATACGCGTCAAACAGCGATAGTCTATTAGGGAATGGACAAGTGATGTCTGGTAAGACAGTTTTTATCGAAGGGCCATATGGAAGCATCAGGCCCTTGCGTCAGTTCGACAGTGTTATACTGCTGGCAGGTGGCATGGGTGCGACATTCACGATACCTCTTCTGCGGGACGTTGTCTCAGCATGGAAGATGGATAGCAACGACAGCACGCAGATACCCGCTCGGATCGCTCGCTTGACAGCTACCAAGCGGTTGCGTTTTGTCTGGGTAATCAAATCACGTTCTCAACTGACTTACTTCGACTCCGAACTGCAGTCTCTGCTGACAGACGTGAATGAATGTCGAGGCACACGTTCAAATTTCGAGAAGGAGATTGAAGTTAGCATTTATGTCACATGCGATGAGAAGCTAGATCCGCCTTTCTCTGTCTCACTGCCATTGCAGACACAGTCTCCTCCTGAACTGGAGACATTTACACAAGACGAGATCAAGAACATCTCCGAGAAAGACAATATCTCGATTCATTCTGTCTCTTCCAAGTCAACATCGACTCCGGGCCCCGTGGCAACAGGCAGAGGGTGTCTCCCTGGTGGAGGCTGTTGCTGCACTACCCAAATCGAAGACGAGGAAATTAGCACCACTTGCGCCTGTACTTGCTCTGGCCCAGCGCCTGTTCAGTCCGACAAGGCTGCCCCGGATGCAAAGTCCCATCGGTCTGAAGACCCCACAAGGAAAACAATAATTTCTCCCAATATTGTCTCTGGTCGTCCAACACCACGAACTATTATCCGCAAGGTCCTAGAGAAAGCCGAAGGAGAAAGTGCCGTTGTTGTGTGCGGACCTCGCGGCCTAGCAGACGATGTCCGCCGTAGCGTGGTTTCTCTAAGCGATGAACGAGCTGTGCACAAGGGAACTGGCGCGCAGGGGATCTACTTGCATGTTGAGAACTTTGGTTTATGAACGGAGGAACTACAACCTAGAGTTTGTTTGTGTATTGTCTGGGTATGTTTGTCTCCATGCCTAATTGAGACTATAGCCTGGCGCTAATCAGTATACGCAGAGATGGATAAAGGCATCTGCTAAAGGTGAGAGTCTGTCTGATACTCGCCTCCAGCGAGCGAGGTACAATACCGCGCAACCCCCAAATCCGGCGCCCTCCCCAACAGCCTGTGTGCTTGACCACGTTGGATACATCATTTGACTGTACGGGGACAGTTAATGAAGGAGTAAGAAGCTGTGCTGCGAAGCTAGAGTCCGAGGTATTAAGCCATGTTCAAAGTCCTTCTCAAAATGTAGAGTTGGATGGACATAGGGATGCCATCACTCTCCGTTAGGTGCCAGACGCCAGATCATAGAAAATTTAGTATCCTCCATGGTATTTCTCAACCTAGTACTCCGTAGCATATGCTCAAAAGAGAAGACCAAAGTGTAGTTGACTCATTCCAACCTTGGAAGGTTCGGACCATAGCCCGAGACGACCCGAGCCAGCACATGACATCATCCAGGAACTGCCGCCCAAGCTAACTCCAACTCTTCCAACTTCTTCCATTCCACCTGTCTCTATCACCACAACACCTTCAATTACGAATATCTAAACCGCCAAGATGTTCCGCTTCGTAAGTTCACCTATCCCATCTCCCAACCCCACCAATTCATCCTCTCCCAGCTCCCAAGCAACCATCTAACATATAAACAGAGCAAAACCCTCGACCCAATCACTCTCTTCCACTCCCCCTCCATCCAAGCATCCACTAGAACCCTCAACATCCTGAAGCAAGCCTCCTCGACTGCTAGCGAAACCGCCACAGAAGACCAGGCTAGCGACCACTCCACCCACGCAAAGCAACAGCGCGGCGAATTCGAGCTGGAGGTTACCACTTCGCCCCCGACAACAGACCAGCTTCGCAGTATCCTCGACTACATCTCGCCCGTCAGCGGTGTCGGTGGCCCGGGTGATAAGGTGACTTATGGTGTTGCGGAGCTGGTGAAGGGCGCCCGCGATGCGGAGGACGCGTTGAAGAAGTTCAAGGAGGATAATGAGAAGTTCGTGAGGCCAATTGTATGTTCCCCCTTTTCCCTACCTTACTTCCATTGCCGTGTGGGAGATTGTTTGGATTAGGATTAGTTTTACTAATTATCTAATCTACAGACCGTTGACTGGGTCAATGGCCGCGCTGTCATTGGAGACAACGAGTCCGAGATCCTGCGCATGGTGCGCCAACTTCCTGCAAACTAAAAAGGTCGATGATTTATTGCGAGAGGATGTATGCGCTACGTATAATCTACTCGGCATTTAATCACGAACGAACTCAAACTCATATTTCATATTCTATACAATGAAACCATATTACTAGCAGAAGACAGGAACTGCGCCATTTTTGGTCTATGGCTGTATCATACAAGAATCAATTTCACAACTCCACCCGCATAATAAAACTAGAACGAGTCAAGAAACCGTATCGCGCTGCAAGGTGCAAGTTGAAAATGAAGTTGAGGTTAAAACAGAAAGAAGAAAAAAGACGAAAAAAGATGACCCATTAAACTCAATACTGGGACATCTGGCACAAGGAAACCAAGATCCAGCTCGGAGTCCCGCAACGCGCCAGCGGAACCTAAGAAGAAAAAAAGGTTGACTGAATATGGTTGAAATGTGGATTTGGTCAGGAACCTAGAACATCGTCCCGAATGTGCCGTCTGTCGCGATAGGCTTCCGTGGCGAGCTGCTGCGGCCGTTGCTGTCGGCGGTGGGTTTGCGGTGACTAGGGTGGTCAGTAAGAGAACTATCGTACGAAGAAAAGCCATTCAGCTTAGATTCGAGCCGAACATACCGGAAAGTAAACCCGACGAACAAGCCCTTGCCCATCTTATCATCGCGATCGGCCATATCCTCCAGCGCGCGCTGCTTATCATGGACCTCCTTGTACTTAGCCATATCTGCCTCGTTGCTGAAATCATCGAAGTACCCAGCATCAGTCTCGGAATCAAGTTCAGGCACGAACGGAGCCCGTTGATCACGCAGACTCTCGAAGTCGACCTCGGCGAAATAGTCATGTGAATGGATTTCTTTGATATTCTTGAACCGCTGCTCCTTCCCAGCAACCAGCTTCGTGATGAGATCCCACGTCCGCCGTGACAAGAAGTAGTTCGGGTCTTCGTAGACGGGCTTCCGCAACACCTTTTGCCAGCGCTTCAGGTTCTGCCATGTCTCTTCGACTGTCGCGCCTGCAAAGGGCGGGTAACCTGCCAATGCCTCGAACAGCATACATCCCAAGCTCCAGTAGTCCACAGTGAAATCGTATTGGTCGCCCTTGAGAACTTCCGGCGCCATGTAATCCGGCGATCCGACAATCGACTTGGCGTAGTTAACTTCCCGCTGGCGCAAAGACTGGTATCCTTGTCGTCGTTCGGCCATTGTACGTTGTTCCATGGGGCGACCGAAGGGAACGGGAGTGTTCCCGACTTCCTCAAGCTTAACGCGCATTGACTCGATCTTGCCCGGGCTCAGCATACCAGCCGCCAGACCGAAATCAGTCAGCTTGACATGGCCCGTGGAATCGATCAGGAAATTCTCGGGCTTCAAATCACGGTGAATATACCCCAGCACATGGAGCGCGTCAATGCAGCTGAACATTTCGGCAATGTAGAAGCGGGCGTGACGATTATGGAGAACACCGGTATTATTCAGTAGTGTGCGGAAGTCTCCACCAGGAACATACTCCATGGCCAAGTAGATCTGGGTATCATCCTGGAAGGCATAGAGCAGCTTGACTAGCCACTCGCTCTTGGCGGCAGTGAGGATGTCGCGCTCGGTTAGGATATGCCGAATCTCATCCAGTTTGAACAGCAACTTTTTGCTCATGACTTTCAACGCGCACACTTCACGCGTATCCTTCTTTTGTGCCAGATACACTTGTCCATATCCACCCTGACCAACCTGAGTCAGAATCTGGAAGTCGCCCTGGCGGAGGCGTGTGCGACGCTTTCTGAGGTGTGCGCGCTCGCGACCGAGATATTTTAGGAGGGCTGGTTCGTGCTCTTCGTCAGGGGTAGCAGGGGGGTCGGGGTAGGCGGCTTTGAATTGTGAGTGGCGGGTTTGGCGATTGTGAACGTAGCTGAGGAGATCGAAGTAATGGTCAAGGAAGTCTGTCGAGCATAAGTCAGTCAATTTATCTTAGATGGTTGGTCCGGGCAGCGACTTACAGAGTTGGGTCACATTGACGAGGCGCTTCACTTTGGGTTGGGCGAGCTTCTCCATTTCCTCGGGGGTCAGGCCGCGCATCTGGACCTGGCGTCTGGTCGTCTCATCGCGTGGTTGGTATGGCTCTTGACGTGAAAGTGCAGCAGCAGTTGGGGTTGATCCCAGGTCCTTCGTTAGGCGTGTTGGGTTGGGGGGTGTGTTCTCCTTGTTGGCCCTACGCGTTGGGCTCGAAGGGGTTTGGTGGATAACGCTCTCGTTGAAGTCTTCGCCACTCTTGCCTGCGGAGAACATTGGATGATTGTAATGGTTGTATGTCGATTTGGAGGGAGAAGTGGGAGTCAACTTCATCGCCTTGTCGAAGACATTGGGTAGATCGAGTGCGCCCGGAGGCAATCTTGACTTGCTGGGGCTACCCTGGGGGGTCTGTGGGGGACTGGTAAAGCCATCGGCAGGAGTAGAGGGGCGATCGAATTGACCACGAGTATGTAGCAGTGGTGGTGGATTAGGGAGTCGTAGACCAAGATGGTCCTCTGAAATAATAGCCATGGTGTTGATGGAGGAGCGATAGAGGGGTTGGTTGTGACCCCTGTGATAAGGCCGGAACTAATTGGCACTAGCCCAAGAACAAAGGCAAAGTGACTGAATATGTTTTTCTCTTGTACAGAGAGAGGGGAGAAAAAAAAAAAAAGGAAAAGAAACTGCCTTTGTCTCAGGAGATATTGAAGGTTTATGTTTATTATTTCAAAGTCGATCCCTCTCCACCAAGATCGAACGGATCTTGATTCTTTCAATTCGACAATCCACACTCCATCCCGATATCCCCTCCCTTCCTCACAGAGTTGCTGTAGCAACTCTCCCCACGTCATACACACTGGTTTACACACACTTTAAAACCCAGCAGAGTGGGTGAGTTTATCGAGGCGAGCTGAACATCATCCCCACTTCCAATCGCTAATTGTGCTTTGACTTTTCCTTTCAAGTGGGATCAACTCTGGATGGAGTCGAACATGAAACCGCCACTGGTGGATGTGTTCGGGGACTCTGTTTTTGACTTTTGCATAACCCATGAGACTAATGTCGTACATCCAAGTTCGTGTTCGGGGAATAAGCAATAATTATCCGGTCAATACTGTATGTACGTACTCCGTATAAGTAATCCATAGTAAGGGTTCTGCAATCACATGTGGAATTCTTGAGGTTATCGCAAGGGATATAAGCAAACTACCAATTCGGGAATAGCTTGCTTAACACAACTGGGTTGTTCCATGGATTGGAGGCACGGGGACCCCGATAATTGGCAATTTCAACCATGGATCCAAGAAATTTAATATGAAAACAATTTAATTTCGGTGTATTTATCTTATTATTCTATTATTCACGCAGCACCCTGCTTCCGTTGGCCAGTCTACATTTCGTTAGTCTCACCCTTGAATAGAATTTCGGAATTCAGCCCTGGATACGGAATACCCACATAGAACGCCAGCCCATAATCATCCGTTGTAAAGGTGATTGTAGCCCCCTTGGGAAAATAAAACACATCGCCCGGAGTCGCCGTGACCTTCTGGCCCGTCTCATCGGCAATCTCAAACTTACCCTCGACGATAATCTTCATTTCGTCGTAGGTGTAGGTGTAGACGAGGGGTGTGCCCTTCTCCAGTCGGTAAAAGCCGCATGACATGGGCTTGTCCGGGTTCTCGTTCTCACTGTATTATATTAGCAAAATTGCCTACCTAGGTACCTAACACACTATGTATCAGCCCTACCTTGACTGCACATCCCCCAAAAAGGCGTTCTCATTTGCGATAAGCGGCGGCTTGAAGGTAGATTGCGCCTTGGCGTGGTACGTGAAGGGAAGTGCCATGGTTGGTGGAAGCAGTGTATCTATGAGGGCCAATGTAATGTGGAAATAAATCGATATTCTACTTGGTTCTCGGGGGCTACCTCTGCTTTATACTGACGTTGCCGCAGTTCTACCATTGTATGAAATGAGGGGATACCCTTCAACAAGAAAGACTTTCTCAAACTTAGGGCAACTAAATCCAGACAAAAAGCGAGAGTCGGATCTGATGTCCTGACTAGGCAGTCCGACAGAGAACTGGTTGCGAGAAGTTATGGAGAGAATGAGGGGCTTAAGGGTGATGAGGGGAAACTTGAATCTTGAGATAAAGACCTGAAATGGTCGCGTGGGGAGACTGTTATCAATGGAGAGAAAACTACCGACAACTTTTGACGGCATTGCTCCGATCTCATAGACTATGAGCCCACTTCGCGTGATAAGATTGCATAGTTGAGTACTTGGTACATGGATATGCAGATGATACTGAGGCGGGAGGATTCCTTTACTTGATGCGGTTAGCCCTTCCCCATCACATCAACCCCGGAACTACAATCACTGGCTTTTGGTGCTTGGCATAATATGTTCCTAATAAAAAAGATGCTACGGACAAAACCCCCAAGATGTTCGAACTTCAAGATACGGGAAATAATAATTGGTCGATTGTGCAGGGCAGTGGTATACTATAGTAATGCCAAAAGGTAAAAGTAATTCAAGCCCAAATGCCCAACCCATCTACACACGACAATTTCTCTAACTATAACCCTAGCTCTGATGCTAGTTCGGCCCCGGTCCTCACAGATTTATACTGATGGTTTATGGGGTGTCCCCGTCAATATCAACTTGGACGACAAGGGCGAGAGAATGGGTTGTATCTACGGCTCACAATCTACCAGATATGGATCTAGTAGAAGCCCGTGTCCGTCATTTTATTTTCAGTTCTAGGCCCAACAGTAGTGAGCTCACTGGCGGGAAGATCAAAATGACCATCGCGTATAGTAAGCCACGCAATCTGTTACCTTGATATCGGATATCCATGCTGATCTTGTTTCATTAGTGAAGCATAACATTGAACAGCATGTCCGAGGTATCGGCCGGCCGTTTTGATATAACCGGTTTCATCTGTGTTGCACGGTTCCTGGAGAAAGTACCGGACTCCAAGGAATAATTGATTTTGATCGTACCCAGACGGCGGTAATTAAGACATTCCATTCTCCAACGTATCGGAAAACCTGAGAGATATTATGCGAGGCATGCTTTCTCGGCGATGTAGGTAGCATAAATTGTAGCAGAGTTTGAATAGGTGACCCCGTACAAGCCCCATTTCCAGTCATTCGAAAACTGGCAATCATTCGATAATAACAGAGTCTGGGTAGAAACTGTTTATTGCCTAGGTAAGGTCAGGCTGTTTGTCTCATTAATGGAATTACACGGCTCACATTGAAGATATTGTCACCTCTATTCACTGTACAGATTTCTTTCCCAACCTTTTGGGTATCTTTCCCTCAGGGTTTTATAAGAATATAAAATCCGAGAATTGACAATGCTAAATGAAAAATAATAAGAATAGTCTCGAGAGATGCTTGGGAATGTTTATTTGCTTGGGAGCCCAGAGTGGAGCATCGTTTGTACATTGATGTAACTACCTAATGCATACTGGCAACTCGCTGTAGCCAAATGACATATACCGACACTTGGCCCCGTAGGAATAGAATGCAAGCCGGCTCTGGTGGAAGAGGAAAGTCTCGATGTGGTTCTCATCCTCTGTCTCAGGTACATTACTCGGACGGAAAATAAATCTACGTTGCTTGGCAGGAGGCTTGACCTTTTCCTTATGTGCAAACCGAAATTGGTAAAAGTCAAAAGCCCAATTGCCCCATGACTTGTGCAATTAAGCTGTCCCGAGTCTAGGTCTAGAGCTACGAATTTGACTAATATCGGTATCGGTGGAGTGGCGGATGCGGCTATATCTCCGACGATGCCGACGATCCTATGGATAAATACTTAGGTCCATCTCCAACAAGTTGAATCTGGCTCCATATCTTTCAACACAATTGGTATTCCACATTTTGCAATTTCGAAGCCACTTCGCCGATAACCCAGCACTCTCTTCTCATTTTCAAACCAAGATGCCGTTGACAATCCACCACCTTGGCCGCTCACAATCAGAGCGCATCGTCTGGCTCGCAGAAGAACTTGGCATCAAGTATGACTTTGTCTTCCACAAGCGTGACCCTATCCTGGCTCCGCAGTCAATCAAAGAACTGCATCCTTCCGGCACCGCACCGGTGATAGAAGATGACAACTCCCCCTTTACGAAAAACAAGGTCGTTCTCGCTGAATCAGGCGCTATCATTGACTACATTATTGCCGCCTACGGGGAGGGCCGTTTCGCTCGCACACCGAAGGACGGTGAGGAATACATCCAATTCCTGGAGTGGTACCATTGGGCAAATGCCTCCTTGCAGCCAGCCTTGTTCCGTGTGCTGATGAACAGGCGCTTGAGCAACGATCCAGAGGCAGCTCACGTCAAGTTGGGTAATGCCAAACTAGAGGGTGCGCTCTCAATGATTGAGGCAAGACTCGGTGAAACCGGATCCTACTTGGTTGGGAATGACGTCACCGCAGCGGATATCATGGCGATCTGTACTCTCACCACCATGAGAGGGTTCTGCCCCATTGAATTTGATGAGCAAAAGCATAAGAACATTCTGGCGTATCTGAAACGTGTTGGTGACCGGCCTGCCTATCAAAAGGCTATGAAGGTTTGTGAGGGAGAAGATTTCGTGCCTATTCTTGGTGCAAAGGCTGAGCAGTTTGTATTCCCTTATTGAGGTGGGCCCGGATATTATGCACTGATTGTAAATCATCCTGTACATAAATAATGTGAACTTCTAGAACTACCAACTTACAAATCAGCCATAAACAAGTAGGGTGGGGTGGGCCTCCCATGAAGTAATTCTCGCATACAGCTTGGGAATCTTCAAAGCTGAATAATGTTTCACACAAGATAGTCTCTAGGTCAACTTTCTTCTCAGATCAGAATTTGTAAAGGTTCTGCTGGTCGATATTAGTGCCAACGGTAATTCCCCGAAAGCAGCATTGGCACGCCAAAGACACACTTGGGTAGATTGTCCTGATATGACATTGTTTATCAGGACTGTAATATATCGTATCAAGGAATGGATCAATACCGAACCAACACAAGAATATGACTGAGGACGTAGTTCCTTTGCGCGTAAGGGAGGACAGACTCATTAGGTATCATCTGAGACTGCTGCTGCTGTGGGAATCAGAGAATCGTCTCTCCGAAAACATAGGCTCCTGGCATGTTTACATTTTCGCAGTAGGGACAATGTAGGATAAGGCCTTGCTGAGTAACGCCTACGAAGGCAGATGTGGCTTACTGCTTGCGTTGGATGATTAGGGTTGGTAGGTGCCGAGCTAGGTATTCCGGGCACAGCGACGCACTCAACACTGACACGGGTAGTAAAGATAATGTGCAAGTTGCGTCGGACGTTGGTTAAGCTGGTTATGTTTCCGCATTACTGGAAATTCAATTTGGGTGGTCGTGGGGTTGCTGTGGGTGGTTGCTTGAGGGCTTCTGGAATAGGGGTATCGCGCATTGGAAAGTTGAATGAAAGCGTTGGAGCCAAGTAAACCACGACCATGGTGGACATATTAGTTCCTAGATCAACCATAGTTTGTAGTCAGAGAGTATGTCACAGTTGCAGAAAAAGAAATCTCAATCGAAAAAAAGTCACATCGTTGTCATCGCTCATCAACGAGAGAACAACAGATCCCATCCCTAGACGCCGCGCTGATTTGAGGCAACACCAGGTCAGGGCTGCAAAATACAATTTCAACCAATTTCAACCACAACAAAAAGCAAATGAGAGCCACAACAATGGGAACATAAAAACAAAACTCAGGGAAGGAACAAGAACTCGGGCTGCCTGCTTGGTTAGCCGTCATGTTAGTACAGCAGGCTGGGACGCCAAGAACTTTGAATTCTTTTCAGTCGACTCCCAAACTTGCAACCAAGTTTTTGGCTATTTCTGTCAAGCTAACCAAGGAAAACTATGGATTGAAGAGTTAGCACTTGGATGAAATAGTCTGACAGCTGTCGAACTCACCTTCCCATCCCCACTCAGCCATGACATTCACCCAGTGTAATCTGCCACGCACAGTTCTTTCAAATTCAATATTTTCAAGCGACGCGAGTGCGGAACCCCGTCGCGCAAACCTCGATGTAGACTGCCCTGGTCTTCCTCCTGTTGGGCCCTTGTGGGAACCATTGAGACTGTATTTGCGGAAATCGGTGGGTAATGATGAGCTCATTTTCTCCCTGTCTCCAGATGAAAAACTCTCGCCACTACGCGAACTAGTCATTTCACGCTCTCTCCTCGCATTCATTGCGTCGCGGCGCTTCCAGACTTCCTTCAACACCTCCAGACAGCGGTCTACACCACCTAGCATCAAGCGGGACTGAATTGTGGTCCATCGATCCAAGACCCATTTTCGGTCATCGTCAGTGTCAACCTCAGATCCAGCTGCTAGAAGAGGGAACATCTGTATGATAGTAGTCCTGGAGGTATAGGGAACAGTGGCAAGCAAGATTAGGACCCTCTTTGCTAATTCATCAGCCGGCTCAGAGGGTATCTCTGGAACGGCCTGATGCAGGTACAGCAATGTAGCACAGCGATAGGCATGTGCAACTTGAATGCTATGCTGAACTTCGGAATTGGGGTCATCTGGTGGCTCAAACCATTGCGGTGGCTCCCATTCCTCGACAAGAGCTTTGAGTTCCATAGCTTGGGCCACAACCGATACCGTGTTTGACGAGCTCTTCCGCACTTGCTGGATCAACTTCGCCACTCGACTCATAAGAGGATATAGAGTAGTTGCACAGCCCATCAACGGATCAATATCATGGACTGTGTCACTCGGAAGCTCGAAGATTGAGGAATCCCAGTTCTGAGGACCGCACTCATCCAAAGAAGTTAGTCGCGCAATCACGTCCATATATGACCATGTGTTATAGAGGAACCGGATGCGATCCAGCTCCTCATCGCTAACAACCCCTTGCATCCCAGCTGCGATCACCTGGCACATTAATGTTTTTGCGCCTCGCAAATGTTGAATGCATGTGCTAGTGTGTTGGTCCCAGGTATCGGCGAATGCCAAAGCCAGACTAGTTGCCAGGGCAGCATCAGCTCTCATATTCTGAATCTGTCCAACTAGACCAGATATACTCTGGCGCATGTGCTTTGCTCCTTGGACCCGAAGATGGGGGCTTTGCTTGCCCGAGTGGAAAGCCGTCAGAGCAAAGATGGCATGGCGAAGTGCAGGCGTGTCTTTTGCTAACGGCCAAATGAGTGTTCGCCACGGATTCTCTAATGCACCATCTTTGATAGATAAAATTCCACATGTGAGCTTATCAAACCGCAACACGAGCATTTCTGGACTTTCCGGTGGTAGAGATGGGTTGTCTAACATTCTTGGAGGGCCGAGGGTGAAAGAATCTGTGTCTGGCAAGGTGAAGTTCCAAGGTCCCAGTCCTGGATCCGACTTCCGAATAATCTCCTCAATATCATCATTTTCATCCTCCAATAGCTGAGAGAAGCTCAACTTCGATGCATCTGGATCTGGCTGCGCCGCACCAAAAGCGATATGTCCAGCAGGATCAGTGTTGACATCAGGAACCAGTGAGTTTGCGAGCGACAGAGAATCTTGAAACGGCTCCAAAAAGGATAGGAAATTGAAAGGGGGAGAGTCAGCGGACAATGACACGTTAATTTCAAGGGGAGGCGCGGTGCACTCGGCCATAGAAACATCCTCTCGCGTGACAGGCAGATCTTCAAGGGAACGTGCTTCAGTAGATATAAAGCTATTGATACTAATGGGCGAGCTGTGCGAAGGAGTGTCTGGAGGCGAACGAGAGCCATCAAACTTATGGGACTGTATGCGAATCGGTGATGCTGATTGTTCAGTCGTTGGAGGAGTAGGAAAGGTCTGGCCAGTATTGCCGATAGGCGGAGCTTTATGAGACGAAGAGTTTGCTAAAGAAGATTTATGAGTATATCATATCTAGCCTAACCCGCACAGCACTCGTGACTTACCTTTCTTGGCTTTGGTCACTGTAGGCCGCCCAGAAGCCAAGTTGATCTCTTCGAATGGTCGCCATTTGAAGTCTTTCTTGTATCCTCCACATTGGACCTTTCGTCTTTCGCACTGGTGACATGATGGCTTGACTTCGTCGCACTTCAACCGCTTTGCTTTGCAGGTGATGCAACCTATAAAAGTAGAAACTCAAGGTCAATGTTGTGGACAATATGATGAAGTGACCGTTTGCATTATTTCTGCTTCACTGGTTCTTGCTTCACCGATATAAATATGTAGCTTCACATTATTTCAACTTACCATTCCGACTTTTTGTCTGCTTTGGCTTTTGTGTCACAAGGTTTCCCCGCGCTGATGCCGGGTTGTCGGGCGGATCTAAAATCGATGGGATTTTGATGCTTTCCATACCAAGTCGATGTTGAAACCCATTCACACGGAAGAAAACGAGATATACAGAAAGACGGGGATAAAAACAGGGAGATAAGAGGCGATGACAGCGAATGGTAAATGTAAAGATAGGGAATCCTACGGAGAGGAGATGATAAGCCCATGCGGGGGTGCCGATCTTGGAGAATGTGCTGTGTTTTCCATTGCAATCTCAACCAGGTCGGGCGTCGGCCATATCTGATTTAATTTTACAATCTGCCGAAGTAAAGAAGATTGTGTGTAATTCTAACCACAGCCCTAGAGTAGCTCCTAGTGGACATATGTGGGTATCAATGATTGTAAACAATAACAACACCGTGCGGGGATGATTTCTCCAACGGCACTACTAGTACATTAGGACTACGGACACAACCAGCTACGATGAAAATATCATTTACAAGAAAACAAAAACGAAGGGAACGATCTTTGATTAAAAAAAAAGAAGACAAACAGCGGCTGATACCCCCAGCAAGTGAGGGGGCAGCCAACCAGTCTTCACGGACGCAACTAGTACCGTTGTCGGTACTTGTTGGTGACGGGGGCGGCCACAGGGGGAGAGGGGAGCACCACGGGGAGGGAGGGAGGCACCATAGGGAGGGAGGGAGGCACAGTCATGGGAGCAGGGGGGGCGGAGGCGGACATGGCCCCAAGCTCCGCACAGACATCCATGTCCGGAGAGATGTCACGGATCATGTTGTCCATGTAGACACCGGAGACAGACACAAATTCAATGCCATCCATGGGCAGCACATCCTCGAAGTCCTCCTCAACGGGCGAAGGAGGATACTCGACATCCTCCATTCGCAGGGGGATGTCGTGGTCGTTGTCGGCTGCGGGCTGTAGCCGGCCGGCGGGGATGTAGGAGCTGTAGGGCTCGAGGTGAGCCCACAGACGGCGGACGAGGGGCTTCCACTCGTCGCCGACCCCGAGGTTTTGGTGGAGGGCCACAGACGCGGCCAGGGGGCGGGAGTGGAGGAGGTCGAGGATGTCGGAGATGTTGGTGGGCACTTGGGCTAACCGCAGATTAGTATTGCTCCTTCCGTCAATGTTTGGAGATGGGTACTTACCAGGGTGTGGCATCCCTGCCCAATGCAAGCCGAACCACGCAAACTCGGGAGCGAGGACGACACGTAGGAAGTAGGCTTTGGGGGAGCCGGGCCCCACGACAATGACCATGTTGCAAAGGAGCTCGGTCAGCTCCCAGGTCAGGACAGACATGTCGGGCTCGGAGCCCGCAGCAAACAGCTGGTCGAACAGGGACATCTCGTCCCACCTCAGAAGAGGACCAGCCAGGTACTCGCCAGCAAGTACCTGGAGGCCGCTCTTTGAGAACGGAGCCATGGTGTCCAGCACCATTTTTGAAAAAAAAAAAAAGAAAGAAAAGAAAAGAAAACAATAAACGAGCCCGGGGGGGGGGGGGGGGGGGGGCAGAGTGATGAGATTTACAGAGAAAACAAGAGATCAAACCAAAGGATTTTTACAAGACTTTATATGTGGCTAAGGAATACTGAGGCTATTGATAGACGGCTTGAATAAAGCTTAACATTGCCTCAAATGTGAATGTCTCTGGTGTATGAGATGTATTGAGTGAGGCCTCGAGCAATTCTCTCAATGCGTCTGTTTGTTGTTGAACAATAGAGATTTGAATAGCCATATAATTCAGCAGAGACTTTGAATAACATTGTTCAATTGATTCGCCTATCAATGTGAGACCCCATACCTGTGCGTGATGGAGTATGTATGTATATTATTGATCACTTTGTTTGAAAAGTGAACTGAATTATTGGAATTGGTTATTCCCAGTGAACGTTGGAATTGTTAGATGGCTTGGCTGAAGTAGGTAGTGCAGTGCAGTGTAGTGTAGTGCAGTGTGGTTTGTTGTACAATTGGTCCAATGGTATGGGCATTAGAAAGACTGAAGCGAACTGTCGTTGAAATGAGGCCGAAGTGCAGGCAATGTAAGGCTCAAGTAAGAGTGATATCAATTGAAATTGATGGATACTAAGGTCAGAATAGAGGCGGCGGTAAGGGATGTCCCGAATACTGGTGATGAAACTATGGCCTCGATGCCATTCTTAACCAAGAGGCACTTGCAAGGTTACCATGAGCTCGTAGAACTCAATAATTTCAACCTTCGTTACCACCACACCGATGAAAGATTAGTTCCAAACAACACCATTGTTCACTCAGAATAGTAGTATCTCTTTGCATATTCATCATCAAGTGCTATCCTAGGAAACGTGTACTATTGTGGGGAAAATACAGCCTATTTTACCACTAGACCATAACAAAAAACCTCGGTTCCTGTTTAGGGCCTAGGGGGGCCATATTCCCGTCTGACAACTATCAATAAACACCGGAGATTCGGGGTTCTACTTGTAGCGTAGGAGAACGTGAGGAATCCGAGGTTACTTATAGACAAGTCTGACCTTGCACACAAGTGAAATGGGCCAATCCAACATATGCCAATAAGGACCTTTTCACTTGTTTTCGAGGGCACATGAGATCGTAGATATTGGGAGCACACTATCCACAACCATCTCGGCCGCTAACCCACACTCTCGGATAATATATTCAGATTTAAGAGGACTATCGAGGCCAAAGAAAAGCTTGAGAGAAAGAGACTGCACATAGGCAAAGGCAAATGAATATTATATATGAAGTAACTATGTGGTGCCAAGTTGTAGTCTACGTAGTCCCGAGGTCCGCCCATAAGCGGGCGGGCCGTAGGATTGGATTAGTCATGCAGCGAATTTCGGAGGTCCGGAGTCAGTGGCGGGGAAACCCCAGATGTTCACGGCCCGAGGTCAAGCGGAGCCCTTGTTTTTATTTCTCAACTTCTTTTCTTTTGCTTTCTTTTGTTTCAATTCACCAATTATCTGTTGGTTTTCTACTTATACCGTCAGCTATGTTTCGTTCGATACGACGTTTGCCTCGACGCGCCCCCGTTGTGTCCACTGTTTCTTCGCGTTCATTGCGGCCTTTCACTAGCGGTTATACTCGGATGACGACGCCTGTTCAGCACCCCGTATCCACCACTCTCCCCTCAGACGCATACCAGCTGCTGTCCACACAAGAGAAAGCAGGCGAATCTGAAGATGCGCTTTACGACCAACAGCTTCGTGATGTGGAATCGTGGTGGAATTCGCCTCGCTACGAAGGCATCAAGCGCCCTTACACGGCGGCAGATGTCGTGAGCAAGCGCGGCTCCTTGCAACAAACGTACCCCAGTTCTTTGATGGCGCGGAAGCTTTTTAATCTTCTCAATGAGCGAGCGGCTGCTGGTCAGCCCGTTCATACCAGTGAGTCCTTGACCGGCTGAGCTACAACTGTGACAAATCTGACCTTGGTTCTGCACACAAGTGGGAGCTATCGACCCTGTCCAAATGACGCAACAAGCCCCCAACCAAGAAGTTCTGTATGTCTCGGGCTGGGCTTGCTCTTCACTTTTGACAAGTACCAACGAAGTATCCCCCGATTTCGGCGATTACCCCTACAATACCGTCCCGAACCAGGTCCAGCGTCTGTTCAAGGCCCAGTCTATGCATGACCGGAAACAGTGGGACACGAGACGAAAGATGACCCCGGAGCAGCGAAAGGCTACGCCTTATACTGACTATATGCGACCAATCGTTGCTGACGGTGATACCGGGTACGTCAATAAGTAAGATTGGATGCACGAAGTATTACTAATTATCTCGGTGCAGCCATGGTGGCTTATCGGCTGTTCTAAAACTTGCCAAGTTATTTGCAGAGAATGGTGCCGCGGCCGTTCATTTTGAAGATCAATTGCACGGTGGAAAGAAGTGCGGCCATCTAGCAGGCAAAGTGATCGTCCCAATAGGTGAACACATCAACCGACTGGTAGCAGCTCGATTCCAGTGGGATATGATGGGATGTGAGAACCTGGTTATTGCCCGAACAGACTCTGAGAGTGGTCGACTCATCAGCAGCGCCATCGATGTTCGTGACCACGAATTCATCCTTGGTATCACGGAAGACGTGGAACCTTTGGCCGAAACCCTCCAAGCTATGGAAAGGGAGGGTGCCTCGCCTAAAGAAATCGACGCATTTGAGCTTGACTGGGTCAAGAGGCACAAGCTTGTTACATTCGACGAAGGTATGTTCATTGGTTCTGTGTCAAACGATCCCATTTACTAACAATTTGTAGCCGTCGATGCTCATCTTGAGTCAGAGGGCGCTCCCCAGTCATCTCGGGATGCGTACAAGGCCTTTGTTAAGAAGAATCCCGATCTTTCTTTCTCTCGTCGCCGTGCTCTGGCAAACGATTACACCAAAACACCTGTTGTGTGGTCATGTGATAGCCCGCGCACTCGCGAGGGATTCTACCACTACTCCGCAGGGTTCCCTGCTGCGACCAAGCGCGCGAAGGAGTTTGCACCTTACGCAGATCTTCTCTGGGTTGAAACTGGTGACCCAGATGTCGAGAAAGCCGGAACACTCGCCGGCGAAGTGCGGGCCGCTTACCCAGGCAAGAAGCTTGTCTACAATCTTAGCCCTTCATTTAACTGGATGGGACAAGGATTTGATGAGGCTTCCCTCAAGTCCTTCGTCTGGGATATTGCCAAGCAAGGGTAAGCTTAAAACTGCATCTATCCCGCTTCGATCCACTAACTTCTTTCAGATTTGTCCTGCAACTCATTTCCCTGGCTGGTCTGCACACAAATGCCACCATCACGACCGAACTTTCCCGTGCATTCAAGGATGAGGGTATGTTGGCTTACGTCCGTCTTGTCCAGTCCCGCGAGAAGGAGCTCGGTGTGGATGTTCTCACCCACCAGAAGTGGAGTGGCGCACCTTACATGGATGGAATAATGGGTGCTATCCAGAGTGGAAGTAGTAACAGCAGGAGCATGGGTGAGGGTAACACAGAAACGGGTAGGTCATCTTAGACAAATTTTAGAATTCATCAAATTGCTAACCACAACTCTTAGGATTCTAATTCCGATTCAAAAGCTATGTACTGGCAACTGCTTGGTTGTAATTGGGGACTATTTGATATTGAGATATATATGGGAACAGATGCCACATGACGTGCAAATGTGTTAACTTCTCTTTTTCATTTATCTTGCAATACATCTTTAGAACTTTATATTCACTAATCCTCCAATGACATGACTTGGTAGATTGAGGTGCAAATACCTTTTGGTTTCACGGTCCTGTACCAATCATAGAAGGCGTTTATGGCTCTATTCACAGCCACAACTAACAGGGAATAGTCTCCGATGTCTTAGGCTTAGAGAACCTATTTCCCCCCCCCCCCAAATCTCAATCCAAGAGCAGTAATATTGAGTTAAAAACATCGACTAGTGTTCAAGTTTCGAGCCAGCCCAACCAATTCACCCTTAAAAACTTTTTTGAGCAAAAATATTGTCCCAATCAATCCACACCAATTGTGAGATCCGTAGTTTACTTGCATACTCCCTGATTCTCGTGAGCAAGTTGCTGCATGACAGGTTAGTCTTTGAAGCCACGATATTTTCGGTAGAAGATAAGGCCTACCAAGCAGAAGCCACTGGCACAGTTTCCTGAGCTGCCATCGGCTTTGCAAGGGGAACCGACGCCAATCTAAAGATTGTTTAGCTTCAATGGACTTGGTGTTCAGGTTTTCAAAATTACCAAAGCAGGGTCCTTGTCTGCAGCCAAAGCAGAGCCAATAATGGCCATAAAGGCGATGAAGGTGAAATGCATATTAAAATTGGAGGGACTATGTCTCAGTTTTGGAAATGCCAGCTGTGAAATGGTATTAGAGGGATGAGTGTAATTCAAGGTCAGCCGGCTGATAGTATTTATATTTCTCTAGGAGCCGTTGTATGAATCTCTAGTCTTGATCGTGTTGTAGAGTGGACATTGGGAGAAAAGGCTTGGTTAGGTACATTTTTTGAAGAATCAACTTCCTATCTGCATATAACGAAACGGCTAGATTAAGGAACAACCTCTAGAAAGGGGTTCGCTTTCTTGTTACATTTTAAACGTTTGTAGAATATGTGCTTCTTGTTGAAAATCGGTCCATGCTGTACTCCAGACGCGCCACGGTTGAGTACGGAATTCTCATCTGCGTACAGCTTTTTTTTATCGAGCTACTGAATATACTATTCTCTTACCTGAACCTTTGGCGTGGCGTTTGTAACCACCGTATTTGTGGAGAGGTATTTGGATAGCTCGGACAATTTGATTGAGTAGCCTTTTGATTTAGCCCATATGGGTACTTGGGTCTAAAAATGGGCTGAACTTGCTTGTTCCTCATTAAAGCCTGTAGACTTGGGACACAAAGAAACGAGAGAGCGAGGATTGCTGCGAGAGGGATAATGCCTCCAATGACCGTGCAATGTAGTAGGATACTCGGGCTTCTCGGTACAAATGCGAATATCGCAAGATTGTCAAAGTCTGAACAAACAAGGATAAGTATGCAGTCTATTACCTTATCGCATATTACATGTCCCGATTCCACTACACGGTTCTTAACGGTTGCTGTTCAGGCTTATGCTCTACACTTAGGCGCATCAAGAAGTGAGCTGGAAATTAACCGGGCTTACATGATTTAGACTATACAAGCTTGAGAGGAATCAACTGAAGTTCGGGCTTGGATTCTGGCAATTTAGATAACAGGCTTTTCCTGCAGATCAAACAGCGACTCAATGGGAGACTGCTGATGCATATTATACCTTGATTATAGACTACTTGGTTTTTTTTTTGTTGCTTATAGTTTGAGACTTAGCGTCAATGGAGTACGCCTTAGGCCATTCGATTCAAGGCATATAGAGGGAACATTATCGTCGAGGTAGGGCACTGGTTACAACCACCCTGTTAAGGTGATCATATGAATTGAGTCCTGACGGGAAAACCAGAACATGGCCTGTGGTATTGGGAAGGAAAGAGGCAATTTATTATTTTATAAAGATTGGTGACAAGAAATTAAAAACAGTTCAGAACCTAATTGTACATTTTATAGTCCCCCTCCCCCCCCCCCCAACTTCAAAGGTATCACATGATAAAAAACTGTCGAATGTCGAATGCATAGATCAACAAAATGGTAGAAAATGAAAATGAAAATGACAAGTCATCAATCTAACAAGAGCCTTGAGTAGAGAGACAGTCACTCCGGAGGTCATCAAAACCCGATGAACACGGCAGAGGCAAACAGAGTTGAAAGAAGCATCACAGCCTTCAAGCTAGTATAGGCCTTAGGCAAAGAGGTATCCGCCCCAGAGGTACTTGTGCTAGTTGCTGCGCTCTCCGTCGAGGTACCTGATGATGACTTGTCGGAAGATGATTTCGTAGATGTTTCCGTTGAAGTCGGGTATGAAGTCCCCGTTGCAGTGGCATTAGCAGCTCCGGTGCACCACACGTCCTTCCAGGCTACACCCGCGTTGTAGAGGCACTTAGTGAGGTCGTCGACTGATTGATCGACAGCCGGGGCATAGATAGCACAGTCACTATCATAGGCAGTCACCCCTGCGGGTTTCGCGCATTTTGAAAGGAATCCTTTGTACTTGTCGTTATTGGGAACTCCACATGATGCATCTTTGATGGGGATTTCGTACTGGGCTGAGGTCCCACAGCCTGTGCTAGTTGCCAAGGCTCCAGTCGTAGTTGTAGTTGACATGATTTTGAGCTTTGAAGCAATGAAAAATTAGAGAGAGAAAAGGTTTGGAGAGATGATTTTTATTTTTTGATCTAATCGAAGGATTTGCTATAGAGTGGTTCATATGAGCTTTTATAGCCGCTTGGCCCCTTTTTATAGACGATTCGTTCATTGAACCACCAAGCCCAGAATATTTCCGGCTATTTTTAGTCGGTATTGTTGGTCTTATCCAGGTTTACATGAAACTGCCAAGGTGTGACGCGAATTGGTAAATAACGTATGTTCCGTGTTGTCAGATAAATAAAAACCAGGTAAACCATTATACCGAGTATAAGCCTCTTGACTCTCCTGATCTGAGTCCATAGTGGGTCAGGCTGAGTTGGGCTGAGATGGGCTGAGCTCTTGGTGTTCGGGAGGCCCGGCAAACGGTAGTGAGTTTTCAGCCCGTAGATCGCAGGGCATCAGATGGATTTTCAGCATACCTCTTGTTTGTAAGTAACATGGTTGGAAAAAAAAAATTTTTGAATTTTCGAATCGCAGATGTTGTCGACAATTTTTGAATTTTCGGGGTTTCATTGCCATTTCCGCTAGATCAATACATTTTTGTCCCATGCTATGTGTGTGTTCGGCATTTTGGATTCCAAGTAAAAGGCACAGACTTAAGATTAGGACTCCCATGTTTCAAACGGCACTCAGTTCGATCATTTGTTCCGGTCCCCTGCAGAAGATGCGCCTCCTATGACCCTATATTTGGCTTTGAGCGGGGTCATCAAGTAAATGAAATTCTTCAACAGCTATTGAACATGAAGCATAACTACGAAAGCCGACGAAGATATAGCGAAGACTATAGGTAAGGAGTTAGGTAAAGCTAAAAGACAGACAAAAAAGGCTGCACAAAGAGATATCTGAAACGATGAGAGATCAAGCAAAGGAAGAGATTGCAAATACACCCAAAATCAACCATCAACTATATGCTTTAATGGATGGGGTTGGGCCCATAACGTAGACGGGAAATTCGAGTTCTCGGATGACTGTCTGAAGCTGAACCAAAAAGTTCTTATTAGCCATGATCAACATAATCAAGGAGGACCAAATTCTTCTCCTTATTTACCTTGGATTCTCCGACAAGAAAAGCAAGCCTTAGATTGAGCTTGTACATTCTCTTGATGTTGCACACTTCGAAACTCGAAGTGACCTCCGGGGGCAGTCGGTTGTTGGCCCATATGACATCCCTTAAACCGACCGTTGTGTCCGTGGGTGCATCTGCAAGACCTATCGGATAGTTTATATTGGCCATACTTTGCACGATCCACGTGCTAGTAGACGACTCTGTGGTCCCTTGTACTTTCACTTGTGTCGTTTCGACCAGCATGGTTTGAAATGCACTCAGGAATACTTGGCACTGCGAATCCCCAAGCTTTGTGATTTTTATACTCAAAGGGATTGAGTGACCTAGATGGAGGCAAGGTCCGTTCTGAAGCTCGGTGTCGACTCTGAAGGATAAAGGTGAATCGCTGTCGAGGATGTGTGGGTTGATGCTGATGTAGCATTGCTGCTTGAACGGTTTTTGGTTCGGTATCGGGTCTGCAAATGAATGGAATGGAATATTTCGAGTCTTGATATTGATCAGCCATGAGTTGAATGCAATTCTTGTTGCTCAGCAATCGCTGAAGCGGGCAGTTGCTTACCTGTTTCACTGTACTTTGGCCAGTAACTACCACAGTCAGAGAATATTGAATCTCAGCCAGTGACTCCGAGTCCCCTGTTGAGGGCGGAGTCTTCCTCAACAGGTGGGATTTCTTTTGGGGCCAACACGGAATGTTTGTACACGTAATTTGTGGTCTGTTTGACCAGTGACCGGTTTTGTAGCATTCGGTCACTTCGGGAATCTGAACAAATGCAAAATATTTCGTAAGGTACAGCTAGGCATCACTGACTTGAATTTTGATTGGTACTGACCATGATAGAGAATCGGAGAACATGATTTCCGCTCCCGATAGTTACACGGGAGGTGTTTGGATCATGCATCAAATGCTCTGAAGGAAACAGGCGGTGAGACTTCTTGAACAGCTGAAAGTTGCGAGTGTTAATGAAAATAATCAAAATGCAATGGTCGACTAGCGCAGCCATTTTGGCACATACATCATGGGTTTCTGTGCGTCTGCTTTGAGTGAGCCGGGATGTTGCTGTTCCCGACAAGTTTAGGACAATTGTTGACAAGTCGGCCGGCGACTCGGTATGCAATATTACCTCGCCCGATACAGTATCTTGATGGGTATAGGCTGAATCTGTCTCGTCCAGTCTCAACTCCACTGTCATCGGTGACTGGGAGAGCCCAAGTGAGCTCATTGTGAACAGCATGGGGGAAATCCGTTAAGGGGGGTGTTATGTTGGAAAAGGTATAAGCAGCTCTCGTACTTATTCTTAAAAGGGTTCAATCTTGCCATTAAAAACTCTCAAGGTATATAATAAAACTTCTGCATGTCTCACTTCAAAGTGACCCCAGATCTCGGCACAATCAGAATTTTGTGCCTCGTGGGATTTCACGTAATTTGGGTTATTTTTAGTCGGTTAGCAAGGCGATTAAAAAGATGAACCATGCCCAGGTGTACAACTAATTTACCTACCCGTCCACGGGTACTACCGCCCTCCGCCCCTATACCTTTACCAGGTATGGGTCTGTCCCAGAATACAGAAAATTCCCACAAAACGGGAATTCTAAGAAATTAGGTACCTTTTAAATGGAATGCCCATACAAAAGGCACTTAAGCATAGTATGTTTATGATTGGAATTTCTCCAGTCCTGGGAACACTTAGGGGGTATATACAGAGTGAGTAGTGCGTACACATTATAAAGGAAGTATCTTTCTATTTAGTAATAGCACTAAGAAGAAATATCACGTATTCTCTAAGTGTCAGAACATCTGTTTCCCTATACGTCTGTTATGTATGGTGCTTTTTAAATATAGTCTCTATTCCTCTACATTAGATACCTAAAATCAATCTTATTAACAAATCAATTAAACCAGACTTCTATTATCTATTAATACTCTTATTTACCACTTAGATAGCAGGCCAATTGAGAAAAGAAGGTGTTGGGTATATGTACCTTTTGTATGAACATGCGATATAAAAGATGCCTAATTTTTACAATTTCTGTTTAGTGGGACAGACCCAACCTGAGTAAGGTTGGGCTGGCAAGACGGCTATTGGCTGGTTGAAAAGAATAAGGGTGTTTTAGCCTCACGCTAAGGAGTAGGGTTTGTTATATGATTGGTTACTCGCTTTAACAAAGATGTGGGGTCCCGTCTTAAAATAGTCGCCTATACAAAGTTAATTCAGTTAGAGCGAGGTGAAGCTAGCTTGTTATTCTTTCACTTTAGGGGGAGAGAGAGAGAGAGAGGAAGAACACTCAGTCCTTTACAACTTCAATTCCATGCCAAATCTGGTCGGCATATCTGTGCAGCCTGTCATACCTGAATCAATTTGAACCGGCTTGGCATCAGGGATTCTAGGGATTGCATTTCGGACTTTCAGCTTACACACTCCCAGCACTTGTTCTATATTGGGTCCAGACTGTTATATGATGGATCCCTTTAATCGACCTTACTCATTTCACTATGCACCACAAGGTGATGAAAGCGACGACCTGAGTGATGGTCATTCCCCTCGGGTAAGTATATACGAAGTGGAAATTACTTGAACTGTGGACATGCGGCAAACCGAACTGATCTGACATTCCCGGTCACTACCAGAATACTGAACTCCCAAATGAGCACTCCCTCTCCCTACTTCATCCAGCCCATTCTTCTGCCTTGGCCATCAGTCCCTTCGAAGATCCAGTTTCTTCGGGTGAAGTGACTCGTCGACTATACAACTCTTCATCTTCTGAGGTCAAAAGCCCGAGACCCGAGTCGATGGAATCGCTAGACCTCCCCGGTCAGATCAGATTACACAACTTTTCTAACCAAGGCTCCGCTGTTTCCTCCAGCAAAGAGTCGGGGCCACGACACAAAGGAAGCAGCATCCGTCGATATCCAACACGGCGAATTAAGTTGACGCAAGGCTCGGTCTTGAGTATCAACTATCCGGTACCAAGTCCTATACGCAATGCTATCCAGTCTGAGTATCGAGATGCGGAGGGAGAACTTTCTGAAGAATTCACGCAAATGAGATGTGAGTAGTCGCACCAATGTGCCAGTTGATTCGACCCCATCATGATAACCTGACATTTTTTTTCCCTTTCTTATTAGACACCGCCGCAACGTGTGATCCTGATGAATTCACGCTACGCAATGGTTACAATCTCCGTCCTTCGATGTATAATCGGCACACTGAACTTCTCATTGCCATCACATACTACAACGAGGATAAAGTACTGACCGCGCGAACCCTGCATGGGGTAATGCAAAATGTGCGAGATATCGTCAAACTGAAGAAGACAGAATTCTGGGACAGAGGTGGTCCCGCATGGCAGAAAATTGTCGTCTGTCTTGTCTTCGATGGCATGGATCCCTGCGATAAAAACACACTGGACGTTCTGGCAACCATTGGCGTTTTTCAAGATGGCGTGATGAAGCAAGATGTGGATGGAAGAGAAACGGTCGCTCACGTTGTTCGTTTTCCCACCTCACGATCCTTCTAGATTTCAATGCTTCGGGGTATGTTCAAATGCTGATAGTTCCTAGTTTGAGTATACCACACAGTTATCGGTTACTCCGAAACAAGAGCTTGTGCGCCCATACAAAGACGACCCTATGAATCTGCCCCCGGTACAGATGATGTTTTGCCTCAAGAAAAAGAACGCTAAGAAGATCAACTCACATCGATGGCTGTTCAATGCCTTCGGGCGTATTCTGAATCCTGAGATCTGCATCCTGATTGACGCGGGTACAAAGCCCGGAACGAAGTCTTTGCTAGCCCTATGGCAAGCTTTCTACAACGATAAGAACCTCGGCGGGGCCTGCGGTGAAATTCACGCGCTTCTGGGTCACCGGTGGAATAAGCTCCTCAATCCCTTGGTTGCAGCACAAAACTTCGAATACAAAATCTCGAATATCCTGGACAAACCCTTAGAGAGCAGTTTCGGCTATGTGAGTGTACTTCCGGGTGCTTTTTCTGCCTATCGATATCGTGCTATTATGGGCAGGCCTCTTGAGCAGTACTTTCATGGAGATCACACGCTAGCTCAAAAGCTCGGTAAGAAAGGAATTGATGGGATGAATATCTTCAAGAAGAACATGTTTCTTGCAGAAGATCGCATTCTTTGCTTCGAGCTAGTCGCCAAGGCCGGCAACCAGTGGCTACTCACATACGTGAAAGCGTCGAAGGGAGAAACAGACGTCCCGGAACGACCAGCAGAGTTCCTAAGTCAACGGCGGCGATGGCTGAATGGCTCTTTTGCAGCATCACTGTATTCAGTCATGCATTTCAACCGGATCTACAAAAGTGGGCATAGTATCATTCGGTTGATGTTGCTTCATATCCAACTGGTTTACAATATCTGCCAACTAGTCATGACATGGCTTTCACTTGGTAAGTTGATGGAGCTCTTTGGGCCTTGCATTAGTCCTATGCCAGACTACTAACATACCCTAGCATCCTACTGGCTCACAAGTTCCGTCATCTTGGACATTGTGGGAACACCAAGTGCGACCAACAAGAATAAAGGGTGGCCTTTTGGGAATGAGGCTACTCCGATTGTCAATAACATGTTGAAAATTGGTTATCTGACATTCCTTATGCTTCAATTTATCCTAGCGCTTGGAAATCGACCAAAGGGGTAAGTATCCCGGCTTAGAGATAGATATGTACTCCCTTTCGGTTTACAGCTAACATTCAATCACAGATCAAAATTTCTGTACACGCTCTCCTTCCTCTACTTTTCTGTTGTCCAGCTCTATCTCCTCATTTTGTCGTTCTATCTCGTTGCGCTGGCAATGACTCCCGAGAATCTCAGTTTTGATTCCAATCATGGCTTTTCGGCACTCATATCGGGCTTTATTTCCTCAACGGGTGGGCTGGTTCTAATTGCTCTGGTCTCAACATACGGGATCTACTTCCTTGCTAGTATACTCTACGCCGACCCTTGGCATATGATCACTTCATCTTGGGCCTATTTCCTCGGAATGCCATCTTCGATCAACGTTCTCATGGTCTATGCATTTTGCAATTGGCATGATGTCTCATGGGGCACAAAGGGATCCGACGCACCCGAAAAACTTCCATCGGCGCAAACCAAAAAGGAGGATGAAACACCTTTTGTTGAAGAACTAGACAAACCTCAAGTCGATATTGATGAGCAATTCGCATCCACTGTGAAGCGGGCCTTGACTCCCTGGCAAGAACCGATTGAGAACGAAGGAGTGGCCCTAGACGATTCATACAAAGCCTTCCGGACGAATCTAGTGTTGCTATGGACATTTAGTAATGGTCTTCTGGCGTTGTGTATCAACAACCTGAGCATCGACAGGCTTTGCCTAACGGTAAGTCGAGTTTGAGTTCCTTCTTTTATTGTTTACATGAACTAACCGACACAGTCGACATCTACACCTCGCACGGCGTGGTATTTCAAGATCATTCTGTGGGCCACTTCTGGTCTCTCAATTTTCCGATTCTTTGGGGCATTGTATTTCTTAGCGAAAACCGGAGTCTTGTGCTGCATTTCGAGGCGTTGAGTCAGATCTTGGACTTGTCTTGGAAGGCTCAAGATTATCCAAGATTTTACTTTCTCTTTTGCTTTTTCATTGTTAGATACCATGTGTCGTGATTAAGTTCAGAAACAACAATAATAATAAGCTCATGTTTCTATCCATGGGTGTCTTATGGATATCCATGGATTCAGTAGAGCAGAGTTTACATAGAGTTTACATAGAGTTTACGTAGAGTTTCTCTAGATTTTACCTTCAGGAAAGCAGTGCCAAGGGTTCTTAGCTTACAAATTTGTCCGAGGTCCCGCCGAGATTCCAAGAAGAGTCTCAAAAAGGGTCTCAGGTCAAAAAGGGTTTAATAATGGTTTACTACTCCCTCGTACTTCTGCTGTTTCATCACTTGTGTGACCGGCGAATAATGCGTTGCTACATATGCAGTACCTAAATATGATTATTTACGATGTATTTATCTCCTAGGGGTTTTTAAATACCTCTGAAGTATCCCAGAAGTACCCCTAAGTACCCCAGACTATTCGCCTCCGACGGTTCTAAAGACTCATTGGACAATATATTGGCGCCAAGAAATTTGCGATCCGCCTTGGAACCCATTTAATGCTGCCTATTCTTGCGCAGGAGGAAATTTTCTGATTCAGGGCACTTTCTGATTATTTTTAGGACCTCCCAGGCCTGGATTCACCA